TTACAATTAGCTTCAAAATGAAATAGGGGGCCTTGATGCCATCTTACGTTTCTTGGAAGATAGTTTGTCAAAGTTATGTGTTACACGGTTGTTATCGTTACTACTACCATTTTTTTTGGTAAAAATCAAGTCGAAGTCTCTTTTTTCCATTTTTGAGTGTTGTGAAATGGAATTTAGCAATAATGAGTACGCAGATATTATTTTTGAATACGGGTTCTATCATGGAAGTGCTTTAGAGGCTTCTTGGCAGTATCAACGTAGATTTTCTAACAGACGCCAACCTACCCCAAAGGTTTTTACGCGTTCATTTATAAGACTTCTTCAATATGGAATTGCCAAACTTCCGGGGTTAGAGGCCACGCTGCCCGGCATACTGTTCAAGAGGTACAACGTGATTAAGCTGGCGTTGGATGATGCTAGTACAACTACTAGGCCGACTGCAGCCCAGTTACCATGTTTCCAAAGTCTTGCGTGGAGAATTTTAAATCTGGAAACTTTTACATCGTCAAAATGTACAATGTCTGCAACCCGGCGACGAAGCGCAACGGCGAAATTTCTGTGAGTAGTTACTGCAAATACATAATCATAATGCAGATTTTATTGATTTGGTTTTGTGGTCAGATGAATCGCTTTTTACGAGGAGTGGAACCTTTAATTCTCATAATAAACATATCTCCGTTCTGTAAGAATCCACTCGATTCAACACAGGTTTTCTAGAAATATCTAGTGCGGCATTTTCAATAGCCAACTGTTTACGCACGTATTGCCATAACGTTTAAATGCAAACTCATACTTAGCTTTTCTAGAGAATTAAATAGAAAATGTGTTAGATGATGTTCCGTCAGCAACGAGAGTACAAATGTGGTATCAGCAGGACGGTGCATCACCGCATGTTCGTCGTGACATAACCACATGGTTAGATAATCATTTTAGACTTGCAGAAACGGACCCGTACATTGGCCTGCGAGGTCTCCTGGTTTGAACCCACTGCATTTCTTTTTGTGGGGCGCTTTTAAACAACTAGTGTATGGTGAACAAATTAATACTGTTGATCAGTTACAAGAACGAATAGATAATGCGTTTCATCAAATTCAATCCGCAACAAATTTTGCGGGAAAGATGCCGCACCTTTATCCGTCAGAATGGTACTATTTTTGAACATTATTTATTGGAATAAAGCTTTATCTAATTCGTTTTTTTTATTTTACGAAAACAATGCACTCTAGGAAATAACACAATAGTAATTCCTTGTAGCAAATTGAAGGTAAAGTTCGAGTTATTGAACGTTTTATTTTGAAAAATAATGCTACTAATCCCCTGTATCTCCGCCACTGGTGCGCTTAATTTTAAGTAAGGACTTTTGAATGTGGACAATATTTAGGTAAATCCACATACCAAATTTTAGTTCATTCCAGTTAACGGTTTTGAAGGTATTAAAAATGTTTTTTTATTCTTAAACTTCAACACCCCGTATCTTTTTAATGAAGCCTCAAGGAAAAAATGTTACATAGAAGACCCCTCTTATAATGCGGTCGTGTGTATGATGTTTCATTGTTGGTCACGACTTGTAAGTCACCCAAATTACCTTGTTATACAAAGCTTCGATAGCCATCGATAAGATAAATGGATTTTTAGCACCCAAAAGTTGCAAAAACTTACAGTTTTGCAATTTTTCGCAAAGTAGATCTACATGTTCAACGGGATTAGATACATATGAAATAACTTTAGATTCGGCTTTGGCAACCCAAAATACGTACGATAGAGGTTATTTAAACCGCGCTTAAAGCATTTCAGTTTTTAGTGGTATAATGTCCTAAAATTGAAAAAATGAGTAAGTCGAGAATGTGAACTCAACCACAGTTATTGTAATAATATTCTACAGTTAACTGCAGTTTTTCCAAGCTCATATACAGTTATTCTCTCGGATGGGGTTGGCGACGCTGGTGGTCGGTGACCTGTCGCTGGCTGTGTTTGGGATCCGGTCATGTGAATTTAGTCTATATAGCATAGCAGAATGAGCGGAATTTGTGTGGCAAGACCCTGGACACTGGCACTGACAGGTGACGACACCTGTACGAACAGGGCTTTACGAGAATAAAATATTCCATGCCTATTTCTTTTATGAAAAAAAAAAACAAAGTTTTACTATATAAATATATTTAATATCTATTTGATCTCAAATTACATGATCATTAATAGGAGAACTATGATTTTCATCCTCCCTACTATTTATTAGGGGAATATGGTTTTTGGTGACTGCATTCGCACTTGGGCGAGGGAAACCCCTAGAAAACCTCGGCCGTCACTGCTCAGAGTAATTGTATCAGGTGAAGAAAAATCAAGTCGTTCCACAATTCTGGGCTCATTTGAAAAATCGAAAATCTATAATCCACCAGCATGCCACAGTTATTTACCTGAAAAGAAAGGTGGCATTGAAGTAACGGTTTCTACGAGTGTCAATTTTTAAAGTAAGAACCGTTTTGTATTCGAGTGGGAGAAATTTTATTTATGAATGTAAATAGTATTACAATTTAAAATATGATCATTTTTTTCATTTTTAACACAGTCACCATAAACATTTACAAGTCAAGACCAGTTTTTGGTTATTGTAGCATCTGAAACTTTTATCCTGTGGTTTTCATGTCGACTATTTCCCTCGTCTTAATTTCTACCAAACACAAACGCGCAATTTTGAATAACAAATGGTTTCTAGATGGAAAAATTGTATGACAGCACCTGTCTGCAGTTTTTTCGAGTTTACCCGCGGCAAAACTTGTCACCAAAAATTGCAATATGATTGATTGATAACAAGTAATTATGGTCTCCTAAAACACCAAAAAACGACGATAAACAATTTTTCCGATTTTATTGCCAATACATTTTGTCAGCTATGTGTCTGATATGACTCATGAAATAATCTTCTCAAATACCATTCGGGCATCTAATTTTTTCCTGGCGTCTTCGACTCGGATTTTTGTTGCCAGCACTCATGCTTCTTGTTAAAATATTACTTAACAATATGTTTTTTCGATTTTTTTCGGAAAAATTTAGATGCCCTTATGATATTACTTATGATAATCCCCCAAATTTCTTTCGCCAATCGAAACCACATGTGTTGAAAAAAGTCTTTATTGTAAACGTTTCCGTAACAACTGTGACATTCTTCAGTACAATGACTTTGACGATATTTTTTTTATCTGTCTTCCAGGTGGCACCTGTGTTTTTTCTTTTCATTTTTATATCCCTATACATTGTGTTACTACAATAGTATGAAAGGTCCTTTAACATGCTAAGATTTTTAGATGGCACCCCGCATAACCAGCATAGCCCAGGACAGCGATAAGCGAGCATGAGTTTTGGTAAGAAACATTAGCGCATAAAGACCGACACTATTTTTTTTTTTTTTGGAAAAAATTGAAGACATCATTAGAAATGATCATTTTTTATATAAAATTGATGTGAAACTATAAAAAATCGTTTTTTGAAAGGGGTAGATTAAAAACTAGCCGTGTAATGAGCTAAAGTAACAGTTCAAAATACATACCGTAAATGATAGTACTTAGGCCCGTATCGTCAGTCGTCCCTACAATTGTAGGGCGCGTTTATGGCCTCCTTGATTGTCATAGTCCTTTCTCTCCTTCAAAAATTTCTAGATTACACTTGTCCCGTGTCAGCGTCAGCGCTCTCCTATTGTGAAGATATGTTTTCTTTTTAAATTGTAGGAAATTTCAGGCTGATAAAACATGATATAACTCAAAAGCAAGCACAATTTGATGCAAATAGATGTTTGTGACATAACCTCAAAATAGAGCGCTGACACGGAGAAGTAGAAAACTATGACAATCAAGGAGGCCATAAAGGCGCCCTACAATTGTAGGGACGACTGACGATACGGGCCTTAGTAAACTGTGTAGAGGTGTTGCGTGGTGATTTTTCCATGTCTTGAAATTCCTTAACGATTATTTTCTCGTATCTCCAATGAGATCAAAGTTTTTGCGTTTATAAGAAATATTTGAAAGTAGAAACAATTCTCTTGGCCCTTTTTTAACGTTCATTTTTCCAACCAAACTGATGGACCATGAGTTTTTTATAGCGGCGTAGTGAGAGGCTGGCCAAGAGTGTCCGAGATTGAACGGTCACGCTACAGGATGCGCAATTGGTTCTTACTTTAAAAACGCCCCTCGTAGTTCACTGACATCTTTCTGATAAGATTTGCTGAAAGGTTTCTTTTATGGCACCGCTGCTTTTTGCAATAGGTTTCAGAAGTTAGATTTCCTGATAAGACTGACTTATCGGGTAAGACGTCAGTGAAACATGAAGAATAAGTAAGTTCAAAATTATGTAAAAATACCTGTCAATTATTTCGATTATCAATTTAGTTGATATCCATATAACTTTTTGCCTCGTCGTGTTAGTTTCCCAATTATTTCCTTTAATGCCTTCTGAATTTCAAAAGTGGTATGGACATTTTTAGAAGCTTTTGTTTGGAACCTGACTGTATTTCGTAAAACTTCATCTATATATTGATTGTCGACCATACTACTATTATCCACAGATTTATCTACAAAGAGAGTTCACATAAGTATTCCCATTTAAATAACACCTCTGCTATTTTGAAACATCAAGTAGGTTGGCTCTGTATTTATTTATTTAAGTATAGTTTGAGTGGAATGCTTTTGGTCTTCTTAGGGTAAGTTTAGAAAATGCATTTCTAGGGCACGTTTCCAAGATCCTTAACAGTTCTATCTATTCTTCGGTGGTTCATGAAGTTCAAAACCAACCTTCTTGATGCCATACTCACCGATGCTTACCCTTTGAAAATTTTGGTGTTCGTTTGACTGTTGTTTTCCTGTATTGCAGCATACTATAAATCGGGTCTTTAAACATTGTTAACATGATCCTATTGTTCCTATTCAACATCCACCCGGCTCGTGTATGCCCAATAAAACATTCATCTAGCTATCCAGGCAGAACAGTTTTTGGAACAGTTCCCTGTACAAATCATTATCATCAGTATTCATTATCTCACGTTTATCACGCTCAGGAGTGTCTACAGCGTATGCAATTCCTAAGTTGGGGGTGTCCCCCTCCAAAGCTTGATGAAAATATTTGAGCTATGATTCTGAAAGAAAGCCTGGAAGTTTTTGAACAGCAGTTTTGTAAAATACGTAAAAATACGGAATGGATGATCACATTTTAGCTAAAAATAGACATGTTAGTAAAATATGTACCTAATAGAAATAGTAAATACTAAATGTAAGCTAAAATTAAAATATATCATTATCATCATTATTTATCATTGTTCATCACCATTCCTGAAATACGAAACGTTCTTATTATCACCTAAAAGCTGAAACAAACTAAGAAAAACACTTGCGCTACGATTTTAAAAGTTAAATGATCATAGACAACAGACCTTTGAAATACGTAAAAATAAGAATTATGGTAACCCATTTTGCTTGTAAATATATTTTCTCAATAAAGGTGTTTTATCCCGATGTCGATAGTAAAATAAAAATAGTTAATACCAAATTTAACTAAAAAAAACGTATAATAATAAATATAGGTTTGGAGACCATTGTGGGGCCACAGCCTGCCTCATACCTGTAATGATCTACTACTAGCCTCTCTATCACTAATTATTACCAGAAATACTACTATTACTACTACTACTACTACTACTACTACTACTACTACCACTACTACTACTACCTTCTTATCTGGTTACTTAGCATCTACGGACACACTTATGAAACCTGAACTTTTCACATATCTCATCTCTGAAAAACACTGGACGATTTTACGTCAACCACGTGTTTTGCAAGTCATCTCTTGGGAAATGATTAACCACACGAAAATGCCTCTTTATTATTTCGATTATCATTTCAATTGATGTTCATTCTGCATGTACCAGCCTGTGGTCATATTCAAGAGGGTGAGGAAGTATAATTTTTGGAATGTTAGCTTCCCAAATATGTCCTTGAATGAAAATCGTGAACATTTTTAGAAGCTTTTGCTTGTAACCTGGATGTAAATATTTCGCAAAGCTTCATAAATATATGGATATTAGACCATACTACTATTATCCACAGGTTTATCTACAAAGAAAGTTCACATAAGTACTCCCATTTAAATAATACCCCTGCTTATTTTGAAACATCAAGTAGGTTGATTCTTTATTTCATGGATAGTAGCATAAATACGAGTATAGTTTGAGTGGAAATCTTTTAATCTTCTTAAGGTAAGGTTTGAAGATATATCTCTTGGGAACGATTCCAAGATCTTCAACCTGTCTAGTGGTTCGTCAAGTTTAAAACCAACCTCCTTGATCCCATACTCTCCAATGCTTACCCTGTAGAAATGCTAGATATTCGTTGACTGCTGTTTTCATGTATTGTAGCATACTACAAATCGGGACTTTAAACGATTTTCTATAGTTCCTATTCAATCTCTATCTTTATCCACCAACATTCATCCAGCTATCAAGGCAGAACATTATTTGCAACAGCTTTTTTATAACGCTCGGGAGTGTCTATAACCTGTGCCATTTCTGAAATGGGGAGTGTCCTCCCTCCAAAGCTTGATGAATATATTTGGGCTGCGATTCTGGAAGGAAGCCTGAACGTTTTCGGACAACAATTCTGTAAAATATGTATAGCTAAAAGTAGATATTCGTAAAATTTGTACCTAATAGAAATGGTAAATACCAAATGTAATTTAAAATTATAATATATCGTTATCATTAATATTTAGCATAGTTCATCACCATTCCTGAAATACGGAATGTCCTCACTCTCACCTAAAAGTTCAAAAAAACTAAGAAAAACCCTTGCGCTACGATTTTAAAGCATAAATAATCATAGCCAACAGACCTATGAAATACACTATATTGATACTTAGCAGTATCCTTTTAAGTTCTGGATCCCTGTTTAACAGCTCGGCCATGGACCCAGGGGAATTCCTTCCTTAACTTTCCCGCCTCTGCAACGGCATGATGGGGGGGCGGGGCAGCATGAAGAGTCGTCCGACGCATTCGTCAACCATGCTCGCTATTCGCATTAGGCCAAATTAGTCAGTAGCGACAAGCGAGATAGATCGATGAAGTCGATCAATCTTACAAGTCAAGATCCGGCTCCCCAAAGTCTTCTTCCAACCCCGAAAAAGACAATGGTTCCACAGACCAAAAAAGCCCTCCGCCCTTTCATCGCTTGTTGTGTCCAGCTATCCTAAGGTAGTGTAGAAACCGGAGGAACATTGAAGATGCCCCTTCCAATTCTATCCTGTCGATCATGGACCTACATTTTTTCGAAGCTATGTGCAATGCCCCGATAAATTCAAGACATAATCGACAGCCTACCGAGGATAAAGGGGCTAGTCAACCTCTTTCGCCAAATGTCTCAATTCACACTAACAAACTGGTTGTATAAGGGAGTTGAACCTTATACAGCCAGTAGGTTTATCAATCCCTCATCTTTCGCTCTGTTCGGCTGAAAACCCTACATCAATAAGAAAACCCTAAATGCACTTACATTTCAGCAAACTCCTGTTGTCCCTGTGCTCCTGCATGCTCTGCGCAAGAGCATACTATGTGTCTGAATCTCTCGATGTGCCCCTGCTTTTTCGCAGCAAGGCAAGGTGAAGAGTTGTATCTTTCTCTTGACGTGCCCCCACATCTCAGAGTGCCCAAAAAAATTCCCTAACATTTCCCTAGCTACTCGCTACTCCCGACCACTTGATTGGAGTTATATGATGCAAACCTTTTTGTTGAAGCTTATGTCGTATATGACAATTCCGATTCTCTCTACTTTTAAAATTTGCAACCGTTATATTTTTCCTAACTTCTCAACTGAACTGACGCTTTTTCCTAGTGATCCCTAACTATCTAAGTGGGGCACCCTGTCTGAGGAGGGCAGTATGAGGAGTCGTCCGCCACATTTGTCAACCATGCTCGCTCTTCGCATTGGGCAAAATTAGTCAGTAGCGACAAGCGAGATAGATCGATGAAGTCGATCGATCTTACAAGTCAAGATCCGGCTCCCCAAAGTCATCTTCCAACCCCGAAAAAGACAATGGTTCCACAGACCAAAAAAGCCCTCCGCCCTTTCATCGCTTGTTGTGTCCAGCTATCCTAAGGTAGTGTAGAAACCGAAGGAACATTGAAGACGCCCCTTCCAATTCTATCCTGTCGCTCATGGACCCAAATTTTCTCGGAGCTATGTGCAATGAACCGATAAATTCCAGACATAATCGACAGCCTACCGAGGATAAAGGGGCTAGTCAACCTCTTTCGCCAAATGTCTCAATTCACACTAACAAACTGGTTGTATAAGGGAGTTGAACCTTATACAGCCAGTAGGTTTATCAATCTCTCATCTCTCGCTCTGTTCGGCTGAAAACCCTACACCAATAAGAAAACCCTAAATACACCTAAATTTCAGCAAACTCCTGTTGTCCCTGTGCTGCTGCATGCTCTGCGCAAGAGCATACTATAGTATGTGTCTGAATCTCTGGATGTGCCCCTGCTTTTTCGCAGCAAGTCAAGGTGAAGAGTTGTCTTGACGTGCCCCCACATCTCAGAGTGCCCAAAAAAATTCCCTAACATTTCCCTAGCTACTCGCTACTCCCGACCACTTGATTGGAGTTCTATGATGCAAACCTTTTTGTTGAAGCTTATGTCGTACATGACAATTCCGATTCTCTCTACTTCTAAAATTTGCAACCGTTATATTTTTCCTAACTTCTCAACTGAACTGACGCTTTTTCCTAGTGATCCCTAACTATCTAAGTGGGGCACCCTGTCTGAGGAGGGCAGTATGAAGAGTCGTCCGCCACATTTGTCAACCATGCTCGCTCTTCGCATTGGGCAAAATTAGTCAGTAGCGACAAGCGAGATAGATCGATGAAGTCGATCGATCTTACAAGTCAAGATCCGGCTCCCCAAAGTCTTCTTCCAACCCCGAAAAAGACAATGGTTCCACAGACCAAAAAAGCCCTCCGCCCTTTCATCGCTTGTTGTGTCCAGCTATCCTAAGGTAGTGTAGAAACCGAAGGAACATTGAAGACGCCCCTTCCAATTCTATCCTGTCGCTCATGGACCCAAATTTTCTCGGAGCTATGTGCAATGAACCGATAAATTCCAGACATAATCGACAGCCTACCGAGGATAAAGGGGCTAGTCAACCTCTTTCGCCAAATGTCTCAATTCACACTAACAAACTGGTTGTATAAGGGAGTTGAACCTTATACAGCCAGTAGGTTTATCAATCTCTCATCTCTCGCTCTGTTCGGCTGAAAACCCTACACCAATAAGAAAACCCTAAATGCACTTACATTTCAGCAAACTGCCCTAGTCCCTGGAACAAGTAGAAACAGCATGACTATACACTACCTTAATAAAGGTCTCACTCTCACACTTGAGCAGGAAAGTCGGATGGAACAATTCTAGCGAACGTTTCGGCATATGAATAGCTATAAAAGCTGTTTTATTTAAAATAATTTACACTCGTACTATTTTCGTAGTTTGTTTTCATTGTATGGTACCTCTTATATGTTCTCTAATATTTGGTTACATAAACGAATATGAATAAGATAGTTCGCCATAACATATTGACACCTTTTATGAAAGCTGGTTCGCACGAACATGGAGAATACCCCTTGCTCGACTAGGCAGTCCGTGGAGGTACCAACGAAGAGCCACTGCCAATAACTGATCAAAATATGGCGAAAAATTGCCGATAGACAATAAATAATCACCCTATTTTACCATATTTGTATCCTTGCCCTTACGGAGCATTTTTGCAAATGAAAAATTTCCAAACATTTCAGAAACCACTATCTTGCGGCAACCTTATAGTAAGCTATATTTTTATTGTTTTACAGTGTAAATTATAAATACAGGTGGTTCCTTAAGGAAAAAAATACTTTTGGGTTTTTTAAAGCTTAGTTTTTACTATGTACTCTTTTTTTACCATCCTATACGCGTGACAAAAACACAAATATAATAACATTGAAGTGTTGCGATACGTTACGTTTTCAACATTTTTATTTGCCATGTACCTTCGAAACGAAGGCGTTTTTCGAAAACGATTTAAGGACAAAGCAAGCTTTGAATAGACTGAAGAATTAGTCCTTGATTTTTTAGTGAACATATTGCCAGAGAAAGCAAATATTTCCTCTCAGTGAATTTAAGAGTGATGGGTATTATTGTCAGAATTTTTGAAAATAAAGATCTGGAATTTTGGGCTTGCTGCCAACATTGAACAACGGCACAACTATTATACAAAAAACAAAAAAAAAACGCCAAAAAATGTCATATTGGAGACTAGGTAGTTTTTAGTGTGTAAATAGTTGATTCCACGTTTGTTTGCTATTCGTCTAATCATATCAGACGAAAATTCCCATGGTTTGCGAAATAATTGTAAAGTCTGGTTTTATTGATGCAAGTTATTGAAAGGGATATTTAAAACATAGACGCATAAAATGGA